GTGTGCTCACGAAGGAAGTGATTTGGAAGATGCAACGATGTATCGGAAATTGGTGGGTAGCCTGATTTACTTAACTATAACAAGGCCCGATATCTCTTTTGCAGTTGGCGTGATGAGTCGGTACATGCAAAATCCAAAGAAACCTCATCTCGAAGCTGTTCGGCGAATTATGAGGTACGTAAAAACCACACTTGGTCATGGTATTTTATATAAGAAAGGTGGAGATTGCAAGTTATTTGGTTACTGTGATGCCGACTATGCTGGGGATCATGATACTCGACGCTCAACTACTGGATACGTCTTTATGCTTGGGTCCGGAGCAATTTCTTGGTGTAGCAAAAGGCAGCCCACTGTTTCTTTGTCGACAACCGAAGCGGAATATCGGGCTGCGGCAATGGCAGCACAAGAGAGTACTTGGCTCGTATATTTATTGAATGATCTGCATCAACCCTTAGATTATATGGTTTCCTTATTGTGCGATAATCAGTCGGCAATACGTTTGGCGGAAAATCCAGTCTTTCATGCTAGAATGAAGCACGTAGCGGTACAGTATAATTTCATCAGGGAGAAAGTTCTTCAAGAAGAAATTAAGTTGGAGTATATAGAGACAAAGAATCAAGTGGCAGACTTGTTCACAAAAGGCTTGAATAGCAACCAGCTTACAAGCTTATGTCATCAGCTCGGTTTGATGAAAATGAGTGCTGATGTTGAGGGGAAGTGTTAAATTACAACATTCAGCACATGCATTTTGACTAAGTCTAGAGTTTGTCTTTTACCAATTCTTAGTTTAATAATTGTTCATCTCTGGGCCCCCGCGGGGATAGCACAAACTCCACATTGGTATGATATTGTCCAGATTGGGTCGGGCCCAATTGGTTTTGCTCTTGGTTTCCCCAAAAGGCCTCATACCAATGGAGTTACTATCCCCTCTATATAAACCATAGATCTTTCTCATATTAAACCGATGTGGGACACTTGTTTGCACCTCAACAATCCTCCCCTCGAACAAAGTACCACATAGGTCGGACCACAAAGGACCACCGAGCCTCCCCTCAATTTGCGCCTGGGGCTCACACCACCGAGCCTCCCACCTGGAGCTCGTCGAGCCGCCTCCACTTGCGCACCAGGAGCTCACCATTTTTTGTTCGGCACCGAGGATCCGGCAATTTCCACCACATGGTTAGGTCTGGGCCATGGCTCTGATACCACTGTTGGGCCCCCGCGGGGATAGCACAAACTCCACATTGGTATGATATTGTCCAGATTGGGCCGGGCCCAACTGGTTTTGCTCTTGGGTTTCCCCAAAAGGCCTCATACCAATGGAGTTACTATCCCCTCTATATAAACCATAGATCTTTCTCATATTAAACCGATGTGGGACACTTGTTTGCACCTCAACAAGGAGCCATCCCCCCGGACCGTCCGGATCCCACGAGTGAATCTAAAGTTGGATCTACATTGGATCTCACCCGAATCGCCCCATCTATCCTCCTGAAGATGGGTTTGGTTTCAAACCCCGGTTCGAACAGGAGGAGTACGCCATGCTAATGTGCCTTGGATGATCCACATCTTAGGGTCAAGCGCCGATGAGCACCTTGAAACTATCCATGTGGCTAAGAGCCCTCACAACCCAGGCACAACGACGCAATTATCAAGGGCGCGCTCTACCACTGAGCTAATAGCCCGTCGTGCGAGCCTCCCACTGGGGTCCGCTATGCCAAAAGCGAGAGAAACCCCATCCCTCTCTTTCCTTTTTTCGCCCCCATGTCCCCCGTGCATATCGAAACCCTAGTTGATTATTTTATTCGTGAATTCGAATGTAAAATTATCTAAATACGTAGAATCCCTATGGACCGGTTCATCTCACTCCGCCATTTCAAAGGGTTTGTGCATATGTATATAACTTTACATTTGGATAAGACGAGACTTTTGACACGTTTTGCGAGAGAATTCACCCATATGGGCCCTTTTGGGATCATATTCTTGGTTACTGGAATTAGGGGTGTAAATGAGTTGAGCTCGAGCTGATGGCGATGTCGAGCTCGAGCTAGAGCTCATCGAGTTTTATATTTTGAAATCGAGACGCGTTTGTCGAGCTCAAGCCTGAGCTCCTACTATGTTAAAAAAAAATTATTAATATTATTATGTTTTTATTATTATAAATTATAATAGAAAATAACGAAATTAAAAAATGAATTGTACTTATTTTTTAGTCATTTACATGTATTTTAATAAATTTTATATTATTTATATATTACTCCATTCATTCCAAAAATATGTCACTTTTGATAAATACAATTCTTCAATATTATATGTCACTTTAAAATTCCAATACTGTATTAATTACATAGTTTTCTATTTTACGCCTATTCACTGTCTCCAACATTATCTCTTATTAATTTGTGGGAAAGGACATTATTGTCTATAAATACACATTTTCCAAAAATAAGTCACATTTAATGACATTCGTAATCCTTGTGCAATGCTAAAAAACGACAATTATAAAGGAACAAATAGAATAATTTAAAAATAAAGCTATATTTAAAAAAAAAAACTCGCGATCTTACGAATAGTTAAGAATAAGAGCTCGAGCTCGACACGTCAGAAATATCGAGCTCGTGAGCACGAACTCGAGCTCGAAAAATTTGAGTTCGAGTTCGAGTTTTTGTCGAGTCGACTGATCGATCTCACGAGTCAGTTCAGCTCATTTACACCTCTAGCCGGAATGTCCAATTGGAGAATCCTAGCTAGGAAAGTGTTGTTTCTCAAGTACAAGGATATGAAAGATGATGTCATTTTCAATGTAAAGAAGATTGCCGTTTTTCTTGGTTGCATGTTTTCATTGAGGAAGAACAACAAGGGCTAATACAAGAAATCTCAAATATGTGCAGCTTTCAAAATTTGAAGAATGTGGAAGTCAATAAGAAAGGATATGTTGTAGATGGTTTATTGAAGAATGGGACGTTTTAATTTGAAGGAAGGGAGAAATCAGTGATTGGACCAATTATTTGACTCTGGACATGGCTGAGCGCATGAAGAAGCTGCATGGAGATCAAATTACAAGTCTCACCCGGCTTGACATTCAAGATCTAATATTAAGTTAAAAAAGATAGTGTTAATGTGCAAACCAAGTCCGACATCGTTTTAATTTGGGAAAGATCATTCCTTTATAAGGAGGGGATATTAACTCTGTTGCAAAATATCACAACAATTGGTATGAGCCATTTTTGGAGAAAATTAAGAGTAAAACCAATTGGATTATATTTGGCCCAAATTAGGCAATATCACAACAATGTAGAGTTTGTGCTATCTGAGTGGGCCCCGACAGACGGTAAGCTGCTCAAGGTACTTTAATTTCCATCTGCATGTTATTATGGTTCAATGATATAATGTGTTTGTGCTTTAATTTATGTCTTCTTATTATTATGCAATTTAATAAGTGTGTTTGTAGTTGGTATTCATGTTTATGTTGCTCTACAATAATTTTTCTTTTTCGAAACTTTTTATTAAATAGCACATGGTGTGGAAAGTGTCAATTTAAATTGCAAACACACTGTCTCACAAGCCTACAAAAACTCACTGCAATTTGAGCTTATTTCACTTAAAACTTCTTGTAATTTTTCCAAACAATTGTTACGAAAGACACTCCACTATTCACAATAATTGGATCTCAATGTATATGCGGATGAATCAGATGAAAGAATATATTAGAAAAAAAATTAATTGAATTTGTTTACACTCTGGAGCTTATTAAAATTATTGTGGTTAGCAGTAATATTACTGTAACAACAATACTACCGTCAATCATAGTAATATTACAATAATAGACAGTAATATTATTACGTTAGTTCGTCAATAACTCAAACAAAACAATAATAGACAGTAATATTATTGTGTTTACAGTTATTTTACTGTCATCGACAATACTATAATTATGTTGACTTGTCAACAAATAAATCAAAATGAAAAAAAATAACCAAAAAAATAATAATAATGTCGTTGACTCTAATTGTACTGTCAACGACTGTATAATTACGTTAATTTACTGTCAGTGACAGTATAATTACTGTTAATGACAACATAATTACGGTCCAAGTTTAGCGGTTGGCGTAAAAAAAACCACTAAAAAAAGTCAACGTTGGAGACTGGCGGTCAACACCAGATTCCGATGGCGGAAAAAACAGACCAGAAAAAAAAAATCGAAGTCAACGCCGGAAACCGACTGCAAATAAATAATTTGTTAAAAAAAAGGTTTTTAAAAAAAAAGTCAAAATTGAATTTTGTGGTCAAAATTGATTAAATTGAGATTACAATTAAAAATTGGGTGTAAATGGTTGGGGGTAATTTTGTCACATACTTTAATTTTATCTTTATTTATAATATATATTAAGGGATGAGTTTATTGGTGAAAAAGATATAATCCATGAACCTAAAATAAATAGATTATTGATCATGTACGGATCCAAAAAAAACCCCAAAAATATTTATACTATTAAAGAAGCAGTAGTCACAGTATGACCCACAAATATTTATACTATCAAAGAAGCAGTAGTCAGACTATGAGAAAATACTTTTATAAACATTGGGTGTGACCCAATGTTTATAGAATATGTGATATAGAGATCATAGAATATGTGATAATTCATTTCCGACCATGCTCATGCAATCTTAAAAAGTAGCATGATCATGACAGGTTGGCATCAATTAATAATTATTATAAATAAATAAATACAGGACAGGTTGGCATCAAAGCAGGTAGGTTTCAAGATTATCTTTTCTTTTTCTGTACATCACATGTCATTTATAGTGGATCGCCAAAAACTTTGTCTCACTTTCCAATTTATTAATAATTTGAATTATTACATCTACACATGCCTCATCTCTCCTTCCACGCGCCTTCTGTTTCGAATTTTTTGACTAATAATATTTTTTTTAAAGTATACCCCAGAAAGAAAAAGGTGTTATAAGAAAATGTGAACAAAATCAACAAGCACAAGTTCTGCAGCAACAAGACAAGTTAAATGGAAAAGAAAAAAAAAATTGATGAATCCTCAGACATTACATATAGTTAAAAAGTGATGAAAGAATGATAATTCCAAATAACTTAGAAAAAAAAAATTGGCTAAAAATTCATATCAATTTATACTAGAATCACACATGCACCATCACCAATCCTCAGTAAGCAAAAAAGGGCACAATGCAAACAGGCTCCCGCTCCGACAAAACAATAAAGCAGGCAAGACCAATTTCAACTTATCAATAGAACATCGAAATCAAAGCAGACACCATCAGCATCGAGGTGTAGACCAAGTTAAGCCCACAGTATTTGATCGAGGTTGCAAAAGACGTGTCCTGTGGCCTAAAACAAACAACCAGACAAGAGAAAGTTTAGAATGTGATAATTAAAAAATAAATAAATAATTGTTTAAGCATGCGCAAATGATTATTACTTCTGGAGTTTGCTAAGAGAGCCACAGAAGAGTGCATTGTCCGGCATTGGAAACTCCGTCTTGTTATTGGGCTCTGGATTAACAACGCGCACATACGTCTCTTGTCCTAAATACCATGAGTCGAGGTTTTCCGTTCTCAGGTTCCAAACTCCCACATTGTCCAATGATATCAATATTGCAGTCCACGCCCCGGGATATACCTTAATTTATATAAAAAAATAAATATTATTTATTTACTAATGTCCATAAAATGCAATATAAGTAGAGTTATTTACTTGTGTTGTAGAGCGAGCAACCCCATCCCACTTGTTGTACGTGCCCCTGCTATTCTCGGTCCACACACCATAGTCCATGCTGTATTTTTATAACCCAAAACCCAAAATTAAATTAATACAAAGTGTCCGTCTTAAATTAAATTAAACACATGTTAAATAAATAAATATAGCTAAGAAGAAATTGAAATACAAAATCTTACCCGACAACAAAAAAGGCGTATCCGCTCATGTGATAGGTATGCATCTTAGTCTCGTTGTTCTGCAATATAACTTCCATAAATCCTCTGTAAGTACCGTTAATCACCGATGTACCTATCCGTGGTGCACCTGTCAGTGGACGAGTTGGAAAGTCGAGTTTGTAAACACCCTTCACTTTATATTCATCAGCAAGCCTTATAGGTGTAGCTGGATTCGCAAACGAAATTCCACTCAAAGTACTTCTCCGTTTTCCGTCAATAGTCACTGGCGGTTTGTTTTCCAGAACGTATACTTCAGTCACATTAATCGAACCGTATCTAAATGAACCTTGAGGATTTGGGCGAGCACCACTAGCCGACACATTCCACCTGTATTACAAAAAATAATTAAAAAAAAAGTAGCATTAACTAAAAGTAAGATAAAATTTAATTTGAATAGTCATCAACAAAATGTGCCCAACCATTAGTTTTCAGTCATCGAAGAAAACTAAAAAAGGACAACAATTAATTTATATTCCCTAGTCCAATATTTAAATTTTAAAGGGCTAATTGTTAGAAAAATCCTGTGTTATAAAAATTAGCAGAATCCCCCCTATAATTTAATTTTATTGGCAAAATACCCCCTAAAATGCATCATAAGGAGGTTGTGTACTAAAAAAATGCATCATAGGGGGGTTTTGTTAATATTTATACAACACAAGGATTTTTTTTAGCAATACGATATAACACAGGGGTGTTGAATGCAATAACTCAATATTAAAAGGGTCACAATTGAATTTACCTGATAGATCTAGCCTGGTTCATGGAATAGGTTCTGTCGAATTGGTCTTGAGGTGGATCGGGAAGAGGACCAGATGCCTTTCCTTTCGAATTAGTGTAGTGCAGAACGGCGACACCTGTCACTCTCTGCCAGGTAGTTTCATTAACGAATCTTGCACTTGCAACAATGTAATAATCGCTGCTCGCATTTTGATCAGTTGTCAACAAAAAAGAATACGATTGTCCGACGTGAATATCTAAGCTAGTGTAGTTTTGCTGTACAGTGTAAGACCCCTCTGTTTCTGTTAGTAGCAAGTTGTGGCTCTGTATTCTGAAGTTCAAACTCGTCGATATTCCAACATTGCTCACTCGAATCCTGTAAGTCTTGCCTGCAAAAATATTTTAAATATTAATAAATACATGTACAAGATTGCACTTTATTTTCAATTGGCAAGTTTCATCTTTCTATGTTGCTATATTTGTTTAGAGTTTATTGCAATTAGTACCCCTGCATTATATCGGATTGCTAAAGAATTACCCCATGTTATTTTATTGCCAAAAAAATCCCTATTATTTAATTTTTTTTAGCAATTAGTATTCCTGATTAGGGGTTTTTGCCAATAAAATAACATGGAGTAGTTTTTTAGCAATTCGATATACCAAAAAGGTACTAATTGCAATAAACCCTAATCTTTTAACATATTCAACTACTTCCATAATAGGTAACTAGATATCAACACCTTCTTCAAAAAATTGTTACACTAAACATTCAACTTGATCTTGAATACGTAAACATATATATATAAACAAGAACCACATTACCAACAAGTCAACTCAAATCGGTGATAGCAATAACATAGGATATTATTACGCACCTGGTTCGACCGTAATTTTTTCATGGTCAATGCCAGCAGGGACAAGAGTGTCATTATATCTGTAAGGTCCTTTGCCATTAACAAGAACACCATCCGGCATCCCAAGTTCTTTACCCGCATTAAGAGTTTTCCGCAATGCCTAAAACATAACAAACAAGTAAACACCAATCAGCCTCGGTAAATATTAAATTGTTAATAAAGCGTGCGTGCATGCACACACACACAGACACACACTGACCGTGTGATTCTGCGTGTACCAGTCACCGATGACAACAGTGATGTCACCATACGGGGTGTCGAAAGGGATAGAGATAACCGGTCTGTTGTTAACGATAATGCTGCCGAAACCGCCGGAAGCCCTCTGAAAATTGAGTGAAGGGAAGTAAAAGAAACTTCCAATTTGGTCCTTGACTTGAAATTGGTAAGTCCAATTCCATTTCGGAGGGATTGGGCAATTTGTTCCGAGTACCCCATCTTGCCATGAACTCCTCCTCTGCTGTATTCCAGACCTAATTCACCCCAAACAAAACCAAATTCAATATCTTTCTCACCATTCCAAAAAAACAAAAAAAAAACAAAAAATTCAAATTCAAATTCAAATATACCAGTGGAGTAGGAGATTTTCATCTAATTTGTTTCTCACATTGACAACAAGATGGTTGTTGGTTGTCACATTAATAGTGGGGCCTGGGAATTTGCCGTTTACAGCAATTACCTGCATCAGTATTCAGGAATCATATGCCCATTTGAGAATAAAGTTGCTCAACTTTTTAAGAACCACATTTATTTTCTAATTTTATAAAAAAAAAAAAAAAAAAAAAAATTCCCAGATCTGGAAGCTCGGAGGCAAACACACATTGATTATGAGTTAGTGTAAGAAATGAGACCTGTTGAGGAACTCCGAGCGGAGAAGCAGTGATGTAGGAAACTACAAATTCGTAGTTAACAAAAGGATCTTCGGCAAAAGCGGAGCCAAGTAATAAGCAAATGTTGATTAGCAACACTGAGAAAAGGGTACTAGTAATGGCAGCTGCTGCCATTTCTCGTTCGGCACAAGCTCTTTTCTTTCCTTTGAAGTTTGTTTTTTTTTTTTTTTTACAGGAAAGCCTTTTTTCTTGCTTTTGGTGGCTTTACATAATTAGTTTGGAGATGGAGAGAAGGGCAAAGAGGATGAAGTAATAATAACAGAATAAAGAGAGAGAGGATGTGTAATGAGTTATGAGTGTGTTGAAAAGAGGAGAGAGAGTAGAGAGAGAAACGGCTTTGGGTACAGTTTTTTTTTTATTTGAAATAGTTGGAATTATTTTAATTTATTTTTATTAGAGGGTCTTAATGTGTGGGAATGGGCTGTGACCCATTAGTCAGACGACAATGGTCTTTGTACATGCGAGGGGTACAGATTTTTCAACCATACAAAATCAGAGGTGTGTGATATGTCGGAATATTTATTTAATTAAACACCAATTATCTTCTAATCATTTTTTTCTTACGTGGAAACACTGGGTGGGCTTTCTAGTAATTTTTAAGGTAAGTTGCACTCACTCTTCAAGTGAGGTCAAATTATGAAGAAAAAAAAAAAAACTTTAGTTTTTGGATAATTAAAATTACTCAATTTTTATCGAGTAAAATTCAACATAATTTTTTTATTCTGTGTAATGTTCTTTAGTTTGTACTCGTTCTGTGCAAAAAACAGTTTCTAATGCACCACAATATGATAATTACAAGTCAATAGACAAATTTTATGATTATTTTGTTTCAAAATGAGGAGCTTGAATGGGGTAAGACGAGTACAAACTGGAGAATGTTCCACAAAATCTAGAAGATTCCACTAAATTTAACACTGTAACGGTGGACGTATAAGAATATTCATAGTTAAATGAGTGGTTGTAATTACCCGAACATGAGGGATTTTTTTTGTAATTTGATCTTACCTCAGAGGAGTAACCGTAATTTACTCTAAATTTTATATTAAATTTAGAATATGTTCTTTTTTTAAGTAGGGGGTGTTTGATGTATTTCATGAAAAAAAAATCAGTGGTTAACAAACAATAGATGAGTTAGAATATTGGCAAATAAATTTAAACTTCTAGCTTATTTTGACGAATTATCAAAATTGTCCTAATAATTGAAATTTTAAATAAAAACAAAATAAGGGTGAATTAATTTTAAATGTTTTGTTTAGTTAGTTATGTAAAAGTTTTCAAATTGATTAAATAGCTCCAAGGGTCAGACTATCAAGTATCAATCGGTTACCCTAAATTAGCCTTAATTTCTCTTACAGAAGAAACAAAAAATTGAAAAGTAACAAAATCTGAAATTAGTTATTTAATTTGAGAATCTCCCTGAAAAGATTATTGTTATTTAATAAAATAATAAGTATTAAAATGAAGAACACAGTAAGTATAACATTGTGAAGCATCTAGCTAGAATGATCACGTGATAATCTGAGCTGGCCCAGTCCACAAGCCAGGATATAAACCGATCATGCCAACGCATAGCTTAACAAACTTTGTTTTTGTACAGGAATCACTTTTTCTTTTCCATTTATATACTGATCTAAAGATATACATTTTTACTTTTTTAAGAAAAAATAAAATTTAATTTGCTATACATCCCTTTACTTTAATTTTCTTTCAAATAATGACATTTTCATTTTTTTCTTTTTTGTTTTAAGTCTTCTAAGATTTTATAGGATGAATTCACCATTCCTTCTGCTTACCCTCAACTCATTCCTGTTGGAAAAATCGATAAACGGTGTTTTTCATTTAATGTAATCAAAGTATTACAACTTAAATAAAAAACAACAAAACAAACTTATCCTAATTTTGGAGAACACTATGTCACTATTAACAACTAACGAAGTATCCTATAGTCAGGGAAACTATTTTTTGACTAATTATTTTACTAAATTAATATTAATTATTTTATTAAATAAACAATAAATCTCATATTTTAACGCCCTCCCTTAAATTGATTTATGCAGAACTCACTTTACAATGAGATTCTTCTGCTTCAATATATTCTTTTGCGAAAGAACATATATCAAATTCCTCACATTTGAGAATCAATGCCTCAAACACTCCAACTCGGGCGAATGCCAATTTTTTCGAACGCCTCCATCAATCTTCACTGATTGACGCCTCCGTCAATATTCATTGATTGACACTCCATCAATTTTGGACGAACGAACGCCTCTCTCCGCCAATCTTCATTGATTGACACTTCATCAATTTTGGTCGAACGCAACTTTTCGAACGTCTCCCTTAGTCGATCTTCATTAACTAACAAAATGATTTATTTTACTCAAGAATTTTATTAGCTGCTGCTAATATCACCACTTTTGTTTCAAAGAAGTATTCCACAATCTTCTCATCTTCATACACTGTATTCATCAGCTAAGGTTGATTCTAGCTACCACACTCTTTAGCCCTTGATTTTCAAACAACACGATTGTCTTCATGCACGTTATACCAAAGACTTTATTTCCTCTAACAAACAGGTAACCTCATCTTTAGTGCATGTCTCACTTGGAAAGATGACCCATCCTAAAATTACTTGAGATACTTTTCCTAAATGATTCAAATTCATCCAAATCCTAGACGCCAAACCATTAATATTCTTTTCAAGATTTCAGCATTCCTTCACCTCTTCTCCTTTTTTTTCCTTTTTTTTGTTCGGGATTGTTGTCTCCTTTAAAACATTCTTGAATGGCCTGCCTGTTAGAGTAGGTGACCAACAAGCCAACATGTGACTGTGGTCTTTCGTATTTATTATTGTAATAAACGAACCTTTATTCGTATTAATGATAAAACACCTTGGCATTCTATATCTTTGTCCCTTTGTCACAAGCATAGATATAGTCCTTACAGTTATTACAAGTACTAGTAATTGATCGTTAGGATCGTGAGATATTTACTCAAGTATTATAACTGTTAAACGTGTTCCTAGTCGAAGGGTTACGCCACTAATGAGGATATCGGCCTTTCCCATTAAGACTAGCACTTAGTGTATGTGTACTGCATCTCATCAGTAAACGGTATTGTGATATCGGCATGCATAAGTGGGTGCTCGTAAGTTGACGAGTTCACTGAACTCCCTCACCCTAGAAATCTCTAAGTGGTTCCCAATAATCGAGTAGAGATATCTATGGTATAGTTGTACACCATTAGTCCTTATGACCTAGACATCACCGTGACTTCACTAGAGGACCAGCTGTATCGTGACCTGTCCCTGAGTTCCACCGAGGACCATCCCAAGGGCCAGTGTTCGTGCAGTCCGAAATCTAGTGGGAGGTCTGTGCATTGTAGTCGGGGATTCGATCGCTAGAATAGTCTTGGATGTCCTGTGTGTTCTGAAAGTTTGTAATCATTCTAAGTCTCTGGCCAGAGCTGACTAAGTGATGATTAGAGAATTCGATTCTCTAAGTCATGCACGTGACGATTACAACACTTGGAACGATCGCACCGTCATCGAACATATAAAGAGGTCTCGATGAACCAATGCCTCTAGTTCGATCGGGACATATGAATCGAAGGGACCGTACTGTACGTTAACTATATCTGAAGGTTCTTGCAGGCACTTCATTTGTATCTAGGGAATCATGACGCGTAGTTGCTAGACGCCAATCTTGATTCGTTGGGTGATTAAGGTGAAACGAGCTTCATCTTAATCGTAGCTCTAAGGGACGAGTTTTGACCACAAAGAGTTGTGGGCCCACGGCTAGCTTACACCTGAACCATCGAGGGTCACACTGCTCGTGCACATGAGATCTTTGAATAAACGGTCAGAGATAAAGTAAGTTTATCTTTGCATGATTGGAAGTCAATATGATTGGATCCAACATTCATAATTTGGAATTATGAATGAGAATAAGAAAAGGAAAAGAATAGGCGAACGTGTTAGTGAACTTTCTAAATCGGGAAGTTTCCAAATTTAGAAAATGCACTGAACTAGGGTTTCCACTTTTGGAAAGTTGGAAAATGAAAGATGGCACTCGTAATGACGAGGATATTATAATGATTCCGAAAATGTAATTGTTGCAATTTTCCGATCATTGGATTGAGAGAAACGAGCAAGTAAAAGTACTAGCGAACTTAAGTTGTTGGGCCCGGTCCAACTTATGCCCGCTAGGGTTTTATGCAAGACACTATAAATACAAGATTTATAGGTCTTGCACACACAAGTGAAAACCCTAACCCTAGCCGCTCACACCCTCTCTCTCTCGGCCCTCTCTCCTCGGCCACCGCGCCGTCGTCGCCGGAGAATCACCGGAATCGGCCATCCGTTGGCCGATCCCTTTCGGTAATCTTTTCCTCTTTTCGTTTCTTCCGTTTTATTCTAACTACTTCGTGTCTAGTGCCACGTTTTAGTAGATCGAAGTATACGAGGTGAAATCCGAGAGGAGGAAGATCGAAGTATCGAGGAGCAGCCCTCAAGCCGACGACGCACGCAACCCACGCGCCGCCCCGAAGACCGCGCGTGAGATACACGCACCGCCGTACCGTCTCGCCGCTGCTGCCGCTGCACCGCTGCTGCCCCGATTGTACGGATTGGTTTCCGTAGCAATCTCGACTTGCTTGGCGCTCCTACCTCACGCTTCAAGAGGTAAACACACGAATCCCTTGTTTCGATTCGTTTACGTTTAAGCTAAATATTCATGTTTGCTTTCGTATGATTTTATGTGATTATGTGTAATCATTCTAATCGTTGCGAGCATGTTAGTTGGTTTAAACGCGAGCATGTTAATTGGTTTAAATTTAGTAAACATTTTAGCATGTATGTTGCTTTTAATTTCGCTGGAAGCGCAAAGGTACGCAATTAATTGATTTTAATTTGTCGGGCATGTGCTTATGTGCTTTAAAGTCGTTTAAATCGCATTAAAATTTTGTTTTCCGCTGCGTACACGTGCCCGAAACCCAACACTGCCATGCCACCACTGATATCTACCGGGCCTGACCAGACGCACCACCAAACATGCTTTCATATGCCGAAAACAGTTCCATCACCCCATGTCCGATCAGCTAGTTTGTGTGGCTTTAATTTTGTCGAAATTTCCACCACTTGTTGCAGCCGACAATCAATTGGGCCGCCTCAACACCGCTTGAAATAGTCTGATGCTCATTGCTTTCGCAAGCAATGCTTATAGATATTTGGGACATCTGTTACCAAATCTTTTGGGCTTAACTAGACCTCCTTGTCATGAAGCGGCTGCCCGTGCACACTCCCATCTCTAATCGGGTATATGTCTCCGTTGTAAGCCCTTCGTGTTCCATTTCTTCCATATCTTTTCCACGTACATCTCAAAGAGCAATCTGCCTTATTGCTCTCACCGAATTGTACCAGGCCAAACATACTCTCGCCTTGCATCACCTTGTATGACCTCATAACCGCGAAATCTAGGCTGCTCTGCCCAATTTGAAATTGAGAAGACGCCTCATCTAGATAACCGAGTGTTCGCCACGAAAATCGAGGTTTGCATGTTGTTGTTGCTGGCTCATTATTCAAGAACTTATCAGACTTGATGCAGCTCCAATTGTGCTCCATTGCGGGCCGGGTATCATCAACCACGTATGGCTCGGCTCCTCCGAGCGCTAGGTGTTGTCGTCGGCCACCCAAAGCTTTCGCCTTGAATCCTAGAGTCTACTTATGAAAGGTGGAGCTTTTGTAACTTTTCTTGCCCAAATTTCCGCCCCGTCGAGAGAGATGGACCACGAAGTTCGAGCATGAACTGTAGAAATCTACTATTCATTCTCCTCTTGCAAAACTTTCTCGCCAAACTAGAGGGTTTTGAATCACTCTCCCTCGATCCTATATATATCTCTCTTTCAGTCTTTCTCTTTTTTTTTTAATCTCAAAA